GTTCCAACCGGTTCGGTTGGAACGGGGCCGGCGGCATCCTCGTGCACGCGCGCAGCACGCGCATGCGTACTAGCATCTGTCCGATGCTCCAGCTGCTCCTGGAGGATGTATGTGTCCTGTGCATGCGTGGAAGCACAGAACTCGTCAAAACTGGGTAAGGAACGCGGGTGGGCCCTTCGCCGTTCCCGGAAGTTACTTACTTCCGGGTTCGCCGACCAACCGGTTCGCGGGAACCGCCGCGAACCGGTTGAAACCCACCCCTGTATTATACCTAATCAAACCTTTCTGCCCCCAATGTATTGGCATGGTTATCACAGGATCATTCTTCACAGGAAGAGAGAGCTGTTGTGAGTTAGTTCTAACACTGTCAGTAAAAAGCAAGGAATGAACAAATCTGATTATTGTCTAAACATAGATAAAATGGAAATGAGCCAACTTGCTTACAGGAGGACATCAAACAGTCCACCTGCTAGGGTGGGCAAGGATATTAAAAACCCCTACCTATATGAAGGCTTGTAACATGACTTTTTAAAACAGGGCTATTTTTCATTTTCAATTCTTGCTTTAAAAAAAAACTTTTTGGGTGGGATGATGTGATAAACTTATCTAAGTGGATGCAGCCTTGTTTCCAACTCTAAAATGCAGAGTTTCACAGAGGATTCATTACTATGTTTGGTAAATGAAGATCTATTCAATATTACTCTATTCCATTTCACGATCCAAATCCTTCTTTCTCCAGTCGGATGCAGACACAAGACAGCAGAGTTCTCAATTTATCACAAATGATTATCTGCATGATTTGCTACTGAAATGCTCGCAAATATCTTACCTATATAGAACATTTTCTTGCCGATTTGACTTCCACATAACTTAAATTGTAGCATTTGTCACATTCTCTACTTACCAAGCCTCCACAGGTTGAAAGTGCTACAGTTGAGTTTTTGTGCGATCGCAAAACGCCTTGATAAAAACAAAAGTCTTCAGATGGGAATGTCTGTACCGTCTTGGTTCCCCCCTTGCCCAGAGTTTGTACTGTAAATCCAGGTGCCACAAGAAAATTGGAGGCCTTAAGATCAAGTTGGAAGTCATGGCCAAATCCTTGGAGATGGAGATGTAATGACTCAGTTGAGCTCTCTGAAGTTGATCGCTTCCTTCTTTCGTGGTGTGCAATTGCATGGGTTATATAATCTCCATTTTGGTCTACTTCATATGCCGTCACAATGTCATATTCTGTAATCAGTCAAGGCACAGAATCAGATTGCAAATGGCAGGCCCAAAATTCAGGTACAGTTCCAAGCATCTACAAATATAATTCAATTTGCAACTTAGCTCCTCAACTAAATTAAAACTCCAGATAACTATCATTGATATATCCACGAGAAGACAGTGATAATGAGATGTAAGGGCTAAAGATGAAAGAGTGACTTGCTTAAGGCTGTGAGGCCAACTGACTGCTTCATGCAGCTCTATCTTTCAGCTGCAATCAGCAATGCAGATCTTCAAGAAAATTTTCATTTGGAATGTACCCTATATTGAAATATAGAGGACAAAAGTATTAACCCACAACAAATTGGTTTAAATAATGTTATATATTAGTTAATGCATACCATTAGTGTAAATATTTAAAGACAATAGGCTCTTGTGTTATATTATTTATATTGAAAAACATCCTTCCCAAAGTAGGAGATACTAAAAAAATCATTCATATACTAACTTGGGTTTCAAAAGAACTGTGTGTGATATATTAAAAACTATTTTTCACTAGGTGCATTGCGGTATCTACTTATTCATTCCATTTCATAAAGAGATAATTCTAATTCAGAACTCCCAGAATTATATTCTGTTTTCCTAAAGAAGCTGTTTGAAGTTAACAGAGGTGTGCTATATTGCTAATATTCGAGATTCAAAATTCAAAGGCAAAAAGATTTCATTAAACTTTTGTTGAGATTCACTTAGATGTGCAACTAGAGGTTATAACCTAGAAAATAGGCAATTACCTAGCCTAGCAAGGAGGAGCTAAGTTCAATTTAAAGATTATCAATTTTCTATTCTTTTTTTCAAATATATTTTAGACTGTTTTTGTTAAAGATTTATACCATGTATGGGTTCTGGGAAGTCGGGGAGGGAAGTCTGGGGAGGATTGGGGGGGGGGGAAGGTGGGAGGGAAGGATGTATATTAGGCTTGGCGAGGGGTGTTAGACTTTAATGTAATATGATTGCACATGTATACTGTCTTCTCTTATTTTTTTCTTTAAAACTAAGATATGTTAAGTATATTGATATGGAAGCATAAATACCATCAACATAGAATGGA